ATTCTGTTCCTCCTTCTGATTCTGGTGCCTAATAACCCTTTTGTTGAGTTTAGATCCTGTGATTAGTACAGAGCCACAGACTCCCCAATGTCTTAGTATAACCCTTCAGAGAGTTCCCATTCGTGGGCAGTCTGACTTATAGTCCATGTCTTCAGGACATATGACCATGGAAGATGACATATACAGGCCTTGAAAAAGATCCATATCTCTTAATCTTCATTTTTGGTAGCATAAGTGATATCCAAATCCAGACAAAAAGTAAGCCATATGTATATATTTGTCTGCTCCATTTTCCTCATACTTAAGCATTCTTTGGGGTTAAGTTACACTTCTGAGGCATTCCCTCCTTCCTATTGTACTTTGACTTTTACTTCAAAGCACAGAGTTGAAACAAGCTCTCCTCTGAACGACTCTAAACTGTCCACTAGAAAAAAAAAAAAAACAGTTTTTTGACTTATTTTAGTTTGACAAGCTGACTAACTTTGATAAATATCTTGGGCAGGTCAGACATGAAGAACTAGTTTGCCCTGAGTAACAGTTCTCTGTAATTCCATTTGAATGCACAATTATCAAAAAGTTTGACATATTATCATTATCTTCTACCATTACCCCTGTAACCAGTGCCAGATTTTTTTCTTGACATTGCTACTGAGGCTTAACTTAGTAGGAAGGCAAAGACAACACCGAAAGAAATCAAACTCCACCTCCAAAATAGATGTTGCAAGCTGACAAAGTCATGTGCATATGGAAAGCTCATTTGACATGGACATTTTCAGTGACCTTTTTTTGCTACGCTGTTGCAGAAGTGATATTCTGCAATAACTGTGTCCACATGGCCAGCTGTTTCCTACTTAATTTCTACAACAATGTCATAATGACAGCAGGGGCCTATTTCAAAGTAAGGACATAGCATTCTGGGCAGGAATCCTATGGTGCTTTTTCCAAATGGTGAGCTAGCTGTCTGCATTCTGGATCCTCTCTTGTGGTGTGTTGTGATTATATAGAAAAGCCAGCTGGAATCAGCCAGAATTGCAGTGCTTGTGGTCAAACCACACATTTCCACTGGTTCATGTCCTTTTCCTGTACCAAAGCGTTTTCAAGTTCCTGTCAGCTGCCATGAAGGCAACTCTTCTGTCTGCCGTGATGCTTGGAGTGTCTTGTACAGAGGCTGAGATCTCCACATGGAAAGTATTTGGCTATAGAAAGGACACACCATTTTGAGAGATCATTTAGCTGCTTAAATGCAGTGATGGCATCAGGAAGAACTCAAGAATACTAATCAGGAATTAACTGTTTCTGAAATAATTTAATCTTCTGAGCGCAGGAAAAAGGCAGAACATGCTGGGAAAGCTCTGCGCTGCAGATATGTCATGCTCAGTGGAGACAATAAAATATAAGTACTATGATGACCTCTGTTCTTAGGATCTCTGCCATGCCAGTCTTAGGGCTACAGCAGCAGCATGGCAGTGTGAGCTGTAAAACACAGAAGGAGTGGGAGATTCCTGGTGGCTTTACCTCCTTGTTTTATGTGATATGAATGTATTAATGGCATCCATAGGCCCATATTTTGTCTGCTGCATGAGGATGAAGCATTCTAAATAAATGTGGTTAAAGACGTGGTTCTTTCTAGTTTTTGATGGCCTGATTGCTCAGTATGACAGTTTCTCCGACATCAGAGTCACAAACTCATGTATGCACAGCAAAAACTGGGACATTGCACCAAACCAAAAAGGGGATGCTCATAGTGTTTAAACCTTTGCTATTATTTTGCATAAAGACAAATTACCTGTCATCCCCCTTTGCTCCTGAAGCCTTTAAGCAGGAGACCTGCACAGTAATGTATTAGGTTTTCCTGAAAATTGACACAAGTTGACAGTGGACTATGCATTTAAGGGACAGAGAAGGAAAAGAGAGGGCTTAAACTGATGAGTTTGAGCACTACCTCCCTTGTGACTTGCTTGCTCTAGTTTCAATTAATTCTACTTGATGAGAATAAAGGAAAGCATTGCTCATGGAAGCAAAGAACAAGAAGTGTTAACCAGATGGAAACTGGTAAGGGCAACAAATTAAGAAAGAATTTGTGTTCCTACCTGGAACACAAAAATAAAGAGACTCCATCCATCATATCTTTTAAGTACGGGAATAATGCTTTTATGGAAAAGATAATTATGTGCCACAAAATGGCATACGTTAAATATCTTGCTTTGACAGGAGAGCCCTCTGTGTACACTGTGTATACTGACATGTACAAAAGCAAATGCTTCTGTGAGCCATTCATTATGCTCTCAGCTTCATGTATTTTACCTTACAAGAATCAAATTGGTTGTTAACACAAATGTTATTAAACAAACAAAATCCACTTACCATCACCTGATGTGTAAACTTTATAACCATCAGTATCTCCTGATAAGTTAAGCAGTGTGCGCAATACCTCAGGTTCAAGCAGAAGGTCATGTTCCATCACCAACAACTCCGTCTGCCCTGAAAGATGCTGGAAATACATAGAAGAAGGTGCTGAATAGAAAATTTCTCCTCTGAGCATGCATTATTCTCCATGATTCATGTATACGACTGGATTGTTGCAGTGCCTGAGACTAATGCATCTCTGAGAAACCAATAGTAACATTTGTCTCTTTATCAGCTGCAGGGTCTGCCTCTGCTGCCTCTGCCTTTTGGGTACTCTTCGGGGGCAGGTAAACACTGTCTCATATCAGAACAAAGCTGCCCAATGTGAAAGTATTAGATAGATGCTTAACTTTCTTTCTTTCCTCCTGAAAAGATGTTATCTGTTTTCACTTTCTTTCATGAATTAGACAGATTTCTGTCTCACCTTCTTCTTTCTTACCCCTAGGCCAGTAGGTAACAGATAATAACAAACCTCACCTTGAATGTCTTGGCACTTTTTTTATATTGGTTGTAAAAAACGTAAAGGGGAAAAAAAAAAAGCCCTAGCTCTATTACCTTTTTCTTACTCAGACTCCCTCAGTTTGAAGATGACAAACTGCTTTCTCAGTGCCAAATTATTAATCTTGCTCCAGTGAACTACATACTGCTACTGGTTTTGTAAGGTCATGGTCTGGACCAGTGGACAACAGCATCTGGCTTTTCAATGTGCAGCGGGACATTTAGCACTCAAAGAAGCAGCCACAGGGCTTGAGTCTACAGTAAGGGAGAATGAGCTGGACAGGAGCAGGTCAGTAATTGCTCCTGCATGTCTGCAGGCAGCCGTTACAATGTTGGATATTAAATTTTGGGGTTAACATTATTAGAAAAGATTGTCCACAAGCCAATGCAGATTGAGGAGATAAGCAAAGATGCTGAACTTCAACATCTTGCTGGATGGGAAATGCCTTTTCCATGTCTCACTGCTCTACAGTTCTGGCATGCTGCCTGTCTTTTGCAATGAAACAGAACATCCCCCTGGTTGTTTAGAAGGCTCAAGATCCACTCATCCTCCACAGATTTCTACATAGATGTCCTCAACATTTGAGAGAGTCACTGTGTCAACAACATATCCTGCCTTTCAAGGAAGAGCTCCTCATCAGTAAAAGAATATATCTCATTGGTCTATTTATCATTGTCCTCCACAATCCTAGATGTTGAAATAACAGCTCAGGTATGGAGAAGTAGATTAGTTGTAATGCACTGGCTAAACCAAGCAGGAAGGTAACAGAGAAAGGGAGAGCATTGGAAGACTGCTGTGAAGTACGAAACATACATGAAAACACTAGTCAGCAAAACACAAGAAACTGGAATCTTTTTAGTGCAGACAGGAAAAATCCCACCAAGGGGCAAGTAAATTCACAAAAAAAAAAAAAAAAAAAAATGCTGGAGTACTGCAGTAAGAGTGCTTGTAGTAAAGAGTCTGATCCAGGCATGCTCACAGAAACTGAAATAGAGTTTCTACTGTCAAAGATCCATGAACTATGCAAGAATTTCTTAGCAGTAAGTATGAAGCTATTTGCCTAATTTCTGTGTGTAAGCACCATACGAACTGGAGCCCAGGTTCATAGGCTTTTGAAAAGGAATGCAATTAAGCTCACGAATCAGGTGTGAAAAATTTGACTCTAGGTATTTGCATATAGCACTGTGTGAATAATTGATTTTCCAGTTGGCTAGGCCAGCAGTTCTGTTCAATTTCACTTGAGTGCACAGAAAAGATACAGGCTCTTCATTAGCACGGAAAGAAGAAATATTGCTTAGCCTTTATACCTCAAAAGACTCCTATGACAAACACAGAGCAGATCTATACCTTGATACAATTAGAGTAGGAGATCAAGTTTAGTTAATCGTGTTCAGATTCTGTTTCTATTTTCAAATTTACAAATACACTTTCAGTTTTGGAAAAATGTTATGTTGTTGATGTTTGATGTAAATTATCTGGGGGGAGATGCGAGAAGCAGCAAATGACTGTAGTGCTTGCTTTAGTATGTCCAAATAAAGGCCAATTTTTAGCAATTGAAATTGTTCTAGAAGCTGTTCATTCATGCTTAGGTTAATAAGTCAATGACATTGTGCTCAAGGGTAAGAACAATTGCAGAGATAAACTGAGTTATGCCAACACTTACAGAAATTCCACATTACTAGTATCTCTTGCAATAAAAAGCCAAAACACCCTGTCATGGACATTTGTTATCATACAATGAAAGTGTGACAATATCCCCAAATCCACTTTTATTATAACAAAATTCCTCTGGCTGGCAAATGTAAGTGTCTAGACATGCACCAGGAAAGGAAGTAGAAAAGTGCTCATTGTCCATCATTAGCTGTGAAGAAAACACTTTTATACATAATGTGGCATGTGTTCTCAGATATGATCTGAATATCAAGGTCAGTATGCTCACTTGTCAGAAAAGGATCATGCTCAGCTTTAGAATAAGTAAATTGTGATGGTTTGGAACAGATTTTCATATAAACATTTCTTTTGGTTTTAGTTTGTATCTATACAAAACAGATTATTGAATGAAAAGGTTTTAAAATGAGACATGTAGGTGGTTGACATGGGTGGAAGTCTGCAGCATGGAATTTGCTTAAAAGGAGCTGACTTTTGGGATATGCACTGTGGGAATCCAGAACTCAGTGCAAGGCAGGAGGGATTAAAGTGTTTGCCAGTCTCTGCACTGTGCCTATGACTTCAGCTGAACTGCAGTTTCAACTGTACAGTACAGTACATTTCATACAGTACAACTGTATGCTCATGAAAATCACATACACATCAAACTTCTGTACTATCCAGAAATGTTCCCTGAGATTAAGCCAAATCCACACCCACATGACATTTAATTACAACAAATTATTCATAGATGGATTCATAGATGTTAAAGTCAGAAAGAAATCCTGCAAGCCTCAACCCTGACATCCTGGATAACACGGGATAGTCAGGCTGTGATGATCAGACTTAGATTCACATGACCATTAAAACAAAAGGAGCATGGAGTTCAGTGAGATGATGTATTTTTAGTATATACGTGATTGCTTTTTTGTCATATTGTCAAATTGTCATGGAAAATACTGTCACTGATGAAAAGCTCTTGATTTTCAAGGACTGTTTACTGAAGTTGGTCCAGGGACAGCTGTAGCACAGTCAGCATTTAATCACAGCAGTGGATTGCTGGGGTGAAAAAATGTCCATGACCTCGCGATTTACCTTTCCCGTGCTCTAGGAGCTGTTAAGCATCCCTGCTTAAGCGTTCTGGAGGTGACTGCCAGAACTGATGCAGCAGCAGCTGTGGCTCAGGGAACCACTGCCACCTCTCAGCAATGACAGCCACTCCACAGCTTCCCCAGTTCATGGTAAGAGTCTCAAACCTGTGGCCTTCTGCCTCCTTCTCTCTCACCATTCCTCTTCCACAATGCAAGCATCTTGATCCAAGTCAGGAACATGATCCTTGCCTACAATGCAGAGAAAGCAATAAGAGCCTCTGCTTCTAAGAAGCGTTCAGACAGCTCTGAGAAAGGAATATTACACTTAGATCCTTGAAATTCATAAAACTTGTCTTTAGATTGCTGACAGGAGCCCCTAGACTTTGTATTAATCATTATTTATCAATAATCCCAAACCAAATCTATAGGAACAAAAATTCCTTTTTAATCCCCACGAAGTAATGTCAGGCAGATTTCCAGTATACTTGGTGTTTTGCTTCCTATTGCCCTTAGGTGAAGCACATAAGGACAAGAATCACTCATGTCACCAACCAAAGGACTCAGAGGAGCTCTTTAGCTCATTTTTACTGCATGCAGAGATTTATAACACTCCATGTATCAGCCATTAGAATTTATAGTGTGCTGTAAGGCAAATTGAGACATTTATTTAAATACATCAAGAGCCTACCACGTATGTCTGTGAGATATTTCCCTCACGGACAGGTACCTATCTGTTGAAAAACATGTAAAGCCCTGGATCTGTGAGGATTTTTGGTTGGTTTCACTCCCTGTTGGGGTTTTCTCTGAAGTGGTCTCTTGGTCTTGGTACATGATGTTTCTGGTGTATAGCTCTTTTAAGTGAATGTACATTCTGATGCATATATTGTAAAAGTCAACTTTTCACCGGAGGCATGTGTTTCTAGGCACAATCTGGGGTTTGGAAATAGCTAGGGCTACATGCTGGAAGTGAGGCCAGCTTTCTGTGGCATGCTGCCACATCTTTTTTGATTAGGAAGTTAACAGCTGGATAACTTCTGAAAACAGGAAGGTATGACAGCAAAACTTTATTTCAATTAAATAGCTCCCATATAAACACAGGAATTCCACTGTCATCCCCACTTCTTATCCTCAGCAGGTTTTGCAAGGACAGACTGGCTGGGTGACAGGTCCAGTGGCTCTGTGCTAGCCACAGGTCGCTGTGAGCAGGTCTCTTACCTAGTTCAGCTGGCAGCTGAAAGAAATAATCTGAAAAGTCACATCACATTCAGTTTTAGCAGAATTTACTATTCCTCTGTGGAACTAGTGATTCGAAAAAAGTTTTCATGGAGACCTAAGGAAAAGCTTCTAACACAGGAATTGTCTTGTACACAAAATGGCTGCCAGCTCCCCTCACTGCCAGTGGTTTGGAATCAACAAAATGGCCACCCTGTCCCCTCACAGTGTGCAAGAACAGGCAGAAGAGAGGATTAGAAAAATAAAGGAAAAGGAAGCAGGGAAAGAGTAAGTGTTGCAAGTAGATACAGGTGAGGGTGGGCTGACAGCCCTTTTTCCTGTGAGCAGCATGGAGGAAGGCCATCCGTTCTGGTGCTGTGTGAGCGTTCAAGGTTAGATGAACCTTAGAGGTCAGTAGACACTTTTGAGATGTCATCCACCAGAAGCTCAAGCATCAGCAGGAAAATGAAAAGCCCTAAAACCAGATTAATTTAGCAAACCAACCGTGATTTTAAAGCTGTCTTTGGAGGTTTAGCTGATACTCCTGGGCTGCTGAAGTGCACAGTTGTGAGCAGTCCCATTTTGAGCACTGGTGGCTGCTGATTAGCAAAGTGTGATTTTTCCTGAATTATTTTTGGTGTAATTCAATCATTATAAAAAAACCCCACAAAAATGTTTTTGCAGTTAAAATAAGTATGTTCTTTTCTGGTTTATAGTGAAAATAATCAGCTTTCTCAGATATTTTGCCTTTCTTCTTACAGGACAGAAACAAGTATTCTGCTGAAGGAATTCATCTGGCTGAGGGCGCTAAATGAGCTGCTGCAAGGAAGCTGAGTAAAGACAGAGATGGAAAGTGGTTTGAATGCCTCTGAATGAAGGTAAGCAAAGCTGCAAATGATGGTAATATTCCTGACAAGGGGTGTTTGAAAGGCTGGAGACTTTAAGGGGAATTGAGTTCAACTCCTGATCTGCAGTCAGTGAGGAGAAAATGGATCATCTAGAGTACCTTAGGCTTAGGCTTGGGGGGTGGCAATGTGGCATGAAGAGGGGAAAAGTTTATAAGGTACAGAAGGTGAAAGGCACATCTAGTTCTTAATTGTTGGATAGCAAGGCAGCATTACAGCAGGGTAGCACTGTGCCTGCAAAACAGAGAGCATGCGAGGCAGTAGAGAGCTAACAGACACCCTTTGTGGACACCACAGCATTGAAGCTTCCTCAGCCTCTCTAGAGATGAAGTCTTGTATTCAGTAGCATCATGAATACAACTACCAGTTAAACATGAATTGACCTATCTATTAACTGCCCAGTGTACATGTAAAAATCACCTATTTCTATACATTGACAGAAGGCAAGCTGGAGAAAAGATGCAACATTTTTTTTATGAAATACATGTGTGATGTGTGATGGTAAAAGCTGTGATGGTAATGGTATGATCTGTAATTATACTTTTTTATAGCCCAGTTTCCCCTAAAGTTCTGAATGAGGTTTAATGTAAAGTATGCAAAAACATTTTTCAAATAAACTAAATGAAGCTTAGAAATGCAAATTCCCTGAAGGCTGGTTAAATTAATTTCAACTTAAATGATCTGTTCCCAAATCCCCATGAAATTCAATCTTCACATACAAAAAAACATGTTAATTTTGAATTGACAGGGTTATTCACACCAAGCAATGTTATTTCACATAATTCCCACATTTAAGTCTCCTTTTAACCATATGCTTTCAATGTTTATGTTGTTACAATGTATTGCAGTTTCAACTATCAGTGATTAGAAATTGCAAATGTTCAGGTGAGAATCAGGTAGAAGAAAATCAAAATGATAGAATTATTGCTTAAGTTCTACTGTCTCTTGCAAAAAGTTTTTGAGTATGAGTGGAAATCTGGTATCTTAATCTTTTTAATTTTAATGCTTGCCATTAACTCTTTCCTGTGCAGTTCGTAAATTACTGGGTGTTAGACTCACTTTGTCATTGTTCCTGCAAACACAGCTGGACTTTGAGTACAGACAAGCCTGAAAATTTTCTGTATCCCCACCATTGTGGGCCATTTTTCCCCACCACGTTTCTGGTGAACTCGGGAAAGAACCTTTCACTGATAAATAAAAAAATCCATCCTCAAAGTTGCCCTTAATAGTCCTGCGTTGTTTAAACATACTGTGCAAACTGTGACTCCTTGGAACAATTACACAGATCAGTTGCCTATATTTCTTTATAAACAATACTGAGATTAATTAGTTGGAATGGCTTCCTTTGCTTCGCCTCTGATGTCATGAAAATGCTATTACTAGCTCTTCCTTGGACAGAACAAACAAGCATATCTGATATGCAAGCTAATATAATGTCCTTTATTTACATGATTGTAAATCCTGTTAGCTCTAAAACAATCTTGAATTTAGGAGAGGGCCAAAAAGGAGAATAACAAAAGAGAGAAGTGACCTCAGTAATTCCACACTGACGTATCTTCAGCCTCAGAACTGGCATGGGAAGGTTGTGTTATCAGTTGGCATGGGAAACCTGAGTGATGGTTCTGCCATTCTGCCCACAGCAGGACATAAACAACTATTAATTGTTTCAGTAGTTCCTAGCTTTTACCTATACCTCAGTTAAGTTTTCTGTGTGATCTGTATAAGGTTTCAGACATGTGGAATAGAACTAATACTTTAAATAGAATTAAAATGGTATTTTAGGCCTTCAAGAGCTCAGTGTTCAATACTGAATTGTTTTAGGCTTCTATTATAACATCTATGCACATGTTTTATGTAGATCCACATCATATTGCACAACTTGTTAATTTAAGTATCTAAATGAGAAATTTAACCTCTTTAGCCTTACTTCTTGGTCCCTCAGGAGATTGACCTATGTGCATGCACTCTGTAGTACGTGTGTGGGAAGCTATGTTGGGTCTTCTACATGCATGTTATACCGTGGATCTGTTCTTGTTCAGTAGGTGTAGTAATTTGTGAGAGAAAGGATAGTGACATTCAGGCTGTGTCTGCCTGCCTGACTTGCAAGGGCTTGAAATCACTGTTTTTGAAAATGAAATCCCATTCTTTAGTGAATATGTGATTTATGGGATCAGCCTTACCGTGGCATATGCAGGATTAATTTTGCTGAAGTCAGTGGCATTCATCCCATGATTTGGCAATCTTCCTTTCTAAAAAAGGCACAAATAAGTAATAATAGAAAAAATAAATGGTTGCTTCATCTTAAAAATCAGCCTGATTTATGTTTTTTCTTATTTCTTTCCCTTAATTTTTATGTGACAGAAATTGATAAAGTAATCATAGGTCTTATATTGCCAAGAAATCAGAAATTGTTTGGGAACTCATCTGAAGCTGTTACAAAAATCTGAAGCAATGTTTATGCATTTAAGAGCTTGTAATATTTAATTACATGTGATAAATATTTTTCTATTTTAAAAAACCCTGGGAATTTCCTAGTACAAAACTGAGCCTGACCTAGGTCATGTTGAACTTTTTCGGCAACAAGAAGCTTCAGATTCTCTTCATCAGGGATTGTAGTGATAGGACAGGAGGTAACGGGTTTAAACTTAGACATGGAAAGTTTAGGTCAGCTATAAGGAAGAAGTTCTTTATTGTGAGAGTGGTGAGGCACTGGAACAGGTTGCCCAAAGAAGTGATAAATGCTCTGTCCCTGGCAGTGTTCAAGGCCAGGTTGGACAGAGTCTTGGGCAACATGGTCTAGTGTGAGGCATCCCTGCCCATGGCAGGATATTGGAACTAAATGATCTTAAGGGCCTTTCCAACCCAAACCATTCTAAGATTCTATCCAGCAGAGAGAAAAAAAAATAAAATTAGATTCATTCTGTATGCTTTTGCTGTGAATTTAATTTTTTTCTTCTGTTCTTCATGCCTCTCAAGTATACCCTAAAAAAAAAATACCGTTTTTGATACATAATTTTTTGATTCAGTTTCTACTTAATTCTGTTAAGTTGCTATTTCTGTTTGTTTTATTTCTGTTTTCTGTTGGTGTCTTTTACTGTTGTAGTATTCATACTCAACAAAAAAGCATAATTTTTCTTTACAGATATGCCGAAGGGAACCTGTCCATAGCAGGCATTATCTTTATATATGCTTATATATATATGGCCGCTTCCCATATATATATAATTATATATAAATGGTCACTTATTCTGGGATGTGAAGGAAAGAATAAAGTATGCAGGCAGAATGCAGTGAGGGGATTACTAGAACATCTTGAAACTTAAAGGAATGCTGCTATTCGAAACAGTGCTCTGTATCATGTGCAAAGCTGGTATTTTTGGCAGGATTAAGTTCTCTAAAATTTTCAGGAAGCATTTAAATATGAAATGGAAAGTTTTGCCTGGTATTTTGTGTATGTAAAACTTGCTCTTTTTTCATACTATGCTTATTTTTTATCCATATATTTGGTTTAATATTGTATATTCTTTTATCAGAAGTTGAGCTGCATTCTATAACCATCTGAGTTATGTGGACTTTTCCTATCCCAGTAGCAGCCCTGTATATGACACGATGTAGCAGCCAAGCACACTGTCCTAAGAGCTCATAATTAGTGTAGGATATTAATAATCAGGACTCCCCAGTTCCACTGGTCTGCTGTGTGACCCAGGACAAAATTTTTATTCTTCAGTCTTACTGCTCAAAAGATGCAAGACTGCAGATCTATCAGTTTCCACGGCAAAACCCCCAGCAATTTCTCAGTTTCTTGATGATGCATCAATGACAATTCTGTCTGCTCTCTTAAAACTTTACCAGAGGAGAAGAGAACTTAATAGAATCAATACTGTTCATTCAAGACTCTTAGCGGTTAAAGCAGAGGCCTGCCTATAGGCAAGATCCTTAATCTCTCTGTGGAGTAGAGATAATGTAGTTTTCCTTCTCCCATCTTCTTGCTGTTGTTGGTTATTTATACAAGATTTTTTCTCTCTGTTTTACTACTTGCATGCATAATTTCATAGTTCCCACAGTAAATGTAACTTTGATTTTCTAAACACTGCTTGAGATCTTGATGTTGGGTGTTTTTTCCTGCAGAATCCACTGTAAAATCTGTCTTCCACTGGTTATCAGCTTTTTTAGGGTCATCAGCTTTTCTATCCAGACTGAGTCACTCTAGCATTGATAGCTTCTGGGGAAAATAGGTACTCTGCTACTAGATCTGTTTAAATGTGTGAATAAGTGACTATTTACACCCTGCATATGATCCGTTTGCTTTTCAAATATCAAACCCATATCTCTTTCATTATTTTAAGCTGCTGGTAGTGCAAGTATTGTCTAACTGCAAAGCATTTGGTCTTAACAGCTAAACGGTGCCACAGAGATATAAAACATTATTTCATGGCTATTTATATTTTTGTTGTTATGGTAAGTATAGTGGTGGCCCAGGAGAGATTTATGTATGACAACAGTTCCTGGAAAGTCAGTTTGTATTCTGGTTGAGCATAAGAATCTTTTTCTTTATTTTGTCTTCCATCAAAGCTAGCAAAAACATCAAGCAGGACAGGACAAGTCCTAGGGCATGGTGAATTATTACTTTTTCAGTGACACTCATTGTGGCCGAGAGATTAAGATTTTTAGTTGTGAAATAGGAGGCTGTTGAATTGGGTTGAATAAAATAAAGCCAAACAATTTACATATCATTCTATAGTTTTGAACTGTACATTTCTAAGCTGTTTTTTGAACATACTTCTCTACTTCATAAACTATTTAAATGATACTTGGACTGAACTATGTCACATTCCTGTAAAGATGCCGGTAGCTGAATTATTCAATACTATTTAAGGAATATTATTTGACTCTTTTCTGTTTCTTCATCCATCTTCAGATCTTCTTTCTTCTGAAATGCCTGACTTGCCCCTAACTTTTTTCATTGCGTGATCTAAGCCACATATACTATTATTTCGGAAAACTCAATGTATAGAAGGATAATGTCAGCCTTTCAACACCTGACCTTTACAGATGCAAATCTTTTGAAGACAAGGGAAGGTGAAGAGGATTAATGCATCTCAAATTTGGGTCTTGAGGAGATTGAGGGCCAGACTGCACAGTGACAAATCACAGAAATGTGCTTATGGATGGTTCAGGCTGCTTTCATCTGCTCTTCTCTGATAATTGCTTTGCAAATGGCTGACATATACTATGAAAGCAGTGAGAGAGCCTTGTAATTGCCATGACATTTACAATCCAATCAGTTTGAGCTGAACAGTGAAAAAGGATAACTAGTGTTAACCTGTAACTTGCAGGCTTCCAGAACAATTTTGTAAGCTTACATCAAGGAGACCTGTATTTATATGCAGGTTACTAGTGCTGATACCACCTACTGAAAGTAACATGCATTGCATTTTTGGAAACCATCCTTGATGTGTTCTTGAGGTATTCATAATCCCTACCTTCTTACTTTATTTATAGCCATTCTGCCTCATTTGTTACTTTTGGAATATACCTATGTATATATGCATTTTCTGTGCCAAAGTAAATTTTGATTGTTATTATCATATTATTTAGTTACACCTATGAAACCTGAGCTATTTCACCAAGTTCTTCAAAGAACAACTGCTACCTCTTAGTGCTTCTGGAAGTACCATCAAGCTGGGGAGTTCAGACCTTTCAACATTCACTTGTAAAAATACACTGACCAACAGTCTTGACCTCTCTTCCTAGGGAAAGGTTGTAGGTGTAGTGTCAGTCCTTTGTCAAGTTAACACCAATAATTGTGCATCCCTGCAAGCAATTTTTAATTCATTAGTGGGAGGCTTTTGTGAAGGAGAGGACTAGATCACAGGAAACTTGTTCTCTTTTTCCCTCCTACCACTTCTTTTACTCTATGTTCACCTTTGCCTAATCTCCCTGTTTCCATTAGGTAAAATCTAAAACTAACTGAAGGAAGAGAAGTGATAAATATATTTCCAGAAACTGTTAATGTGAAGGAGGATTGATTTGGGACTGGGCAGCACCAAAATAAAGAAAGGAGACTGTCAACAGATTAACCTAATGGAAGAATCTCTTTTAACTCCCACATTGTAAAAAAACATTTCTCCTGACTTCTAGAAATGCTGAATCAGATGCCAGATGAAGCCACAATGACCCCTGAACAAAGATGGCTCAGTTAATTTGTTGCTCTTGCATGAAAAGTCATCCTGGTGCTAATTAGCTAAAAATAAATAACGTAAGTTTTCTAGACTCACTCTCAAAGATCACTTCAGGCTTTAGGAGCCTCCCTGATACTGAAATCCCAAGTACTTTCATTGTTTCTGAAAAGGGGCAGGAAATGATTTATAAAATATCAGTCTTCCTCACAGAATTTGTGGCTGGAATTGGAACAGGAAGACAATTGCAGTTCTTCCAGCATTTCCACCGTTGCTGTTTTAGCAGCTTGTCTAGCTCAAAGAAACACAGAAGCAGAAACTGATTTTTTTATACCTACCCATATAAAATTATATCTCTTGTTCCCTGGATGCCTGTTTGTTTTTAAAGCATTTTCTGCACATATCTATGGAGTGCAAGCTTAGCATGTGAGAGTCCATTTATTAGAAAAATAGGAAATCTCTGCAAATTATTTTTTAAAAAGTAAGGACAGTACATGTTTGCTTGAAGACTTGATGTTTCTTTGTGAATTACCTTTTATCCTTTGGAGTTGAAGATCTTCTAACATGTTTGATAAGTGGCGTGCTGCCAGGTCTCTCACATAGACCACCCACCCTTCAGTGACGTCAAGGAAGTCCCCAAGTTTGCATTATTCAATGGTAACGAAGCCTTTGCTATCTGACTACACAGATGGCGAGCAAAAGGATGGGAACCTTTGGATTGGACTGCATCCCTTGACTGATTTATTTTCTCAACTGAACTTCTTTGTAGCAAATAAACCTTCTGTTTGGCATACTTGCAATGAGAAATTAATGTTCCAATCGATGACGGGTCCTTTAGCTTCCAGCTGATTTCAAAGTGCGTCACACTTCTAGAAGAAAAACTCACTGAAAACTGCATAGACTGGTAAAAAGCCTTTCACAAGTCCTGCTGTGCGATCACCAGGAATATGCTTTACACAGCTGAGCTCAGTGCAGTGCTCAGTGCATGGGACTGCATACATTATCTCTTACCTTTTTATTCTGCTTCTCTTTTCTTATGTCCCTGTAGTGCTCCAATCTTTGTCCATGCAAACAGATTCACAAGAGCATCTGTGAAATGTAATGGCAGGATACAATACTACTACTAGCATTCTGATTTCCTTCTTTGTACTCTGCATCCTCTGCCATCTGCTCTTGGGCCCTTCCTGATGTTTTTATGTTGTAAAACCCTTTGAGACAGGATGTTTTCTTTTTTATTTGTTAAGAGCCTCGTGTAGAGTAATGATAAACAGGAATCTGAGGTTATGATGAATACCGAGTTGCTGTACTTTCCTGATATTGTGGAATGTGTCGGTTACTCAGGTGTGTGGGGCTACTCCAGGCAAGGATGAGAAAGGCTCCTGGTAGCTATATGTCAGCTAATATTTAAGAGTGGGATTGATACTAATACTACTAAGTTTTTATGATTTTGTGTCCATATGTCCTGTATATACAAGACAAGACCTGTATATTCAGATTAAAGGACTCTGAAACTTCTTAGATATTAGGAAGAAGTTCTTGGTGAGACACTGGCACAGGTTGCCTAGAGAAGATGTGGCTTCCCTATCCCTGACAGGGGAATATCAGGACAGATAGCTCATGAAATGGTTTGTTAGAAGAAATAGAGAAAAGTGCAAGAACTCCACTGGTAGATGTGCTCTGACATCTCTCAGACTTCACCCTTCTTTATGAAAATTGAATTATAAAATCTTAATTTACAGAATTCACCCTTAAGAGTGTAACACCTTTTGAAGTTATTTGCCTCAGATGACACAGATATTTTGTGAGACTAGGAAGCAGAATGTAAGAACCATGATTTACTTTTATGTTCAAAATTTCTTTCATAGCTTTTGTGTAATAAACATTTGTAGGTACAAGTAATAGTAAAGGGAAGTCAAATTCAGATGTATCTTGGACAGATCTAAGTTTCAACATGCATAGTTGGATGAGGAAACATGATTTGCATATATAGATTTTGCTTATAAATAGGTGTGTAAAAATTTTGAGCATCCTGTTGAAAATGTGTACTT